ATCGAAAAGAGAATAATAACATAATGAAGATGTTGAACTTACACACTAATTCGAACAAAAGCTTAGTAAGGAAACCCTCATCAATAATGGAAAGAGCGATAAAAGCTACTGGATTTGAGAAACCTATTTTTCTGAAAATATTTTTATAAGAGAAAAATGTTTAAACGATTTTAAGCGACAATGGCTATGGCTGCTCCGTCAAAGAATGCTGAATGTTACCTTATCGGCTAATATTACCAATCTTCTTTGTATGCCATGTCCCCTCAGCACGTAAGCGATCATGGCTCTCCACAATTTCTTGTCCTTTATACCTCTTAGTGAATGTTGTCTTTTTGCTATCTCTCCTAATCGCTTTTCAACCAATTAAACAAGCTCTTTCTTCTTTTATGTTTCGTATCCCATTAGGACGTGGATGATCATGGCTCTCCACAATTTCCTGGCTTTTGTAGCTCTTAGTAAATTTTGTCTTTTTGTTATTTCTCCTAAACCCTGTTCCGCCATCGATTTACTCAAACTTACTAAGTAGGTTATACATTGTTTTTCTCTGTCCCTCTTGCCTTCGATCTGGCCTGTGTGCATCAGATTTTCTAAGCCCTCTTTCCTCATTATGTACCCTAGAAATATCATCTGTCTGTTCCTGGTGTTAAGTATAAGTTTTCTTTTTGTTTTCATCTTCACTAAAAATGTGTTGTTGCTCACATATTCAATCTACGGTATCCTCAGCATCTTTCTGTAGAACCTCATTTCTGTTGCTTTAAGTTTTCTTCTTTTTCGTCCAGCACTCACTGATATATATGAGGACAGATATGGTGTAACTGTTCAGTAAGTTTTCTTTACTTCAGACGAAATCTTATTATTATTATTTGTTTCTTAATACACTACTTAACTTTGGAATGTATCCTTGGCTATCCCAGTGCGCTTTCGGATTTCTGTGGCGCCCGTGTGTGTGTGTGTGTGTTCGGTAGTTTATAGAGTGTAATGAACAAACGCAAGGCTTGAAAGGACTGTTTAACAGTTTTTATTCGTGGTTGAAAGAGAGAATGCAAAATAGTAGAATCTTGCGGGAGAGGGGGGGCGAATTCTTATTCTCAGTTAACAGAATTCTTCCGTTGAGTAGATGCTTTGGGGAGAGAGATCTCTCTTTCCCACGAGAAACAAGAAACCTAGGTGTCAAACTGTTAGGACTGATACGTGTCTTCTGCAGCAAGAATTGTGAGTAGTTTTGCCTTTGTATCGAAGAGAGCTTTCTCCACTTGTCCCCACGAGGAACGAGAAATATCGGGTCCAGCTGCCAGGACTGCCAGGTGTCTTCTTCAGCAACGGTTGTGAGTAGTTCTCCGAACTGGCCTTGAAGGTAGCAGCTGCTGAAAGGGAAAAGTGGAAAAAAAGACCGAATAGGTCTCGGTCAGCATTTTTATGAGTTCTGAGATTTCCTGTCGTTTGTTGCTGATTACTTCCGTTGAATCGAGTAAAGTAAGGAAGCCCCCACATGCCACAATAGTCAACAAGCGAAATACTTATTATATTTTGGGCTCACACTTTTGTTAACACTTGCGAGAGAGACAAACTTGCTACCCGTTAAACATGTTAAAACAGCACCATTCTGGATTCAGAAAATACGCCTTAAACAAAATTAGATTAAATCATTAAATTATTCAAAATAATGGTACTAAAAAGACCAGTGAAATTTTCACGGTTTTCCTATTTATATTTTCTGATGAATCTTAATTTTTAACTCTTAAATTAATGATTAAATGGTGAGTTCTACGACAATAAAATATCCATAGAAATTCCCCTAGCGCATCGTTAAATATTTGAGCTTAACAACTTTAACAAAATATTGCAATAACAATCATAAATATGTAAGCTGCTCCTTATTTTAAGAAGTGGGTACAAATGAAAAGATTTGACAACTTTTTCCATTTCACTGAAACAGTCGTTAAATTCTTCTTTCTTTCTTTCTTTCTTTCTTTCTTATCAAAATCAAGTAGAGTGAAACCCCGCTTATTCGCGTTTCAGCATCCACGACTTCACACATTCGCGGAATTTTCTTTAGAACATATGTACTTGTTATTCGCGGAAACCACGAATATTCACGTGTTTTTCTGAAGAACATTTGTACAAATTATTCGCTGAGAACTCCCTCGATTCGCGTATTTTTTTCAATAGAACATATTCAAAATATTCTTGTATTATTTTCCTGTTATTTAAATGACTTAAAACATATAACAGTCCATTTTCATGGTAAAACTTGGCAGAATTGTACATCTTCGTTTTTAAAAAAAGAAAAACGCAAAAATATGCGTAGTGCTTGGACTTTGTTCTTTGTTAGGGGCTGCGGCTGGGGTCTTAAAAGTAGCTTATGGTAAGTCTGGGGCATCATCACAGTTCTGTTTTTAGAAAATGTTTTATACTTTATATGTTATGTCTTGTTTGTTACACATATTTTATACAGTATTTTCAATGGTTGTATCGATCTATGCGTAATTAAAAACGGTTATTATACGTATGAAAGAAAATTTACTCTCTAAGTCAAGTGTATCGTCACCAATAACTATTTTTCAAAAATGTTTTTAAAAGGGTCTGAAATGCTTAGGATGTAAGTTTAAGGCATATGGGGTTTTAGCAGTCAAAATTGGTACTTATAAGCAATTTTAGGGGGCTTATGCTAAGTCTGGGGCATCATTAAAAGTATTCGCGGATTCTAACTATTCGCGGCCGGTTCTGGTCCCGAACCCCCGCGAATACGGGGGACTCACTGTAGTACCTTTTCCCCTCTTTCTACGCGATCAAAACAGAATAGTTCATTATCTATGAGGCATTGACAGGGAGACGTTAAACACTTCTATCTTCCTTCCTTTCCTTCTTTATTTCATTTTCTCACTGAAACCAAGTAGTGTCTTTTCCTCCTCTTTCAACAATGAAAATTAGTTTTTCGTTGCCTATGCTAGTGCCTTTATATTAGTCCTTATTCTTTCAGACATGCATGTCATTATTTTAAAGTAATAGTCATTATCAAGTAGATCAATCCCGACCGAGTAGTGAGTTCGATCCTCACTAGGTACCCCATACTTCTGGCCTTGTGCCACATCTAAGCTATTCTTTAGTAAATCACTATTAAATAAAAATGTTTGACATTTTATTTGTGGTTAGTATATTTTCTATTAAATAAGAATCCAAGCGAACATCCTCTCCGCTTGTCCACTAAACCTCCACTTACTTCACAAAGGGATTCTACGGAGGCAGACTGAAGCAGATTCACAATCTTTATATGGTCTTGACATCTAATCTTGAGGATCCTTTATTAAACTGTTGTTATGAAATCGGTCGATAAGCTTGTTATTTCTCGGGTTCATTTTACAGATCTGGCAACCATATCATAGGACGGGGATGACCAAGTTCATTTAAAGCCCAATCTTGGTGCTTTTACTTGTCTTATTTACATTTCACACTTGTTTTGAGTGTCTAGTTACTGCCATGTTGCAGTCGATATTTGGGTCTTAATGAACCGCCATCTTCTTTGCTGTACCATGACACGAAGGGTTCTACAGAGACAATACTCTAGCAGTGCTACCATCTTCATCAAGTCTTACCATCTCATCTTGATGATCCTGAAGAGTCCGATTTTGGTGCTTCTATTTGTTTTACACAATCTGCTTCAACCGATGAAATGCTACCCTGGTCTTTGCTACTCTAGTGTTAATGCCTTCCATGCCACCACTTTATTTTAAAACGCTAACGCCCAGACAGACAAAACTCTTGATGTTTTTCAGTTCTTCTCTTTCCTTTTCCATAGTCCTTCGCACTGTCACTGCCATGTTGCAGTCGCTGTTTGAATCTTGATGAACCGCCATTTTCTTTTCTGTACCATGAAACTAACGGTTTCTACAGGGACATACTGAAGCAGTTTCACCATCTTCTTACCTAATCTTGATCCTTTTTAAGCTGTTGTTATGGAATCGGTCGATAAGCTTGTCGTCACCCTGAATCATTTTCCAGGTCTCTCAACCATATAATAGGACGGGGATGACCAAGTTTTCTAAATTTAGGGACACCTGAATACGAATGATAGCAGCAAATGTTATAAAATAGGGTTTTTTTTATGTTTATAGCTTTACTATTTTACACAATTCTAATCTAATTGGGATTTCAAATTTCATCTGAATTTCATCATCACATATTTTATTCCCACATATGAGGATTAAATTCATATTAAATTTACGTGTGTTTCCGCAGGCAGCTAAAGTATGGATGGCTAAAAATGATAAAATATATAACTATATTTTATCCTTACTTAGCTATATGTGAGGATGAAAACCCCATGAAAATTATGAGCGTCTCATGGAACATCTAAAGTATGGATGGCTAAAAATGACAAAATATATCACTTTATGTATTTGCTTCACTTATTCATAAGTGAGGATGAAAACCTGATTAAATTTAATGGCATTTCATAGGACAGCCGAAGTAGGGATGATTAAAATTGACAAAATATGATACTAGCTACAAAATTATATTCTCAAACTTAAAACGGCGTTATATGGTGGGTTGTTATTTTGTTTTTGTAACAATTAGGAATTTATAAAAATTTTGATCTTCCTTTGTTGTTAAGATTAAAACGAATGTAATTTTTAAGTTGTAATCTTTTTTTAAGTGCTCTTAATGTCTTATTTAAAAAACCCCGGCGGTGGTAGGGGTGAGTTTCAAAAACAGTGTTACACTTTGTCTCGGCCTTTGTCGGTGAGGAATGTGACATTGTTGCTTGTCAGGTTTTCGTTTTACTTTTATCCCCAGTGACACAATCGCTAAAAGAAATCCCCCAGTAGAAGCTCTACTTGATTAATAATCTTTTGTTATTTTCATTTTAACGTGCCCTTCTCCTTTCACCCCCCCCCAAAAAAAAACAAACAAAAAAAAAACACGAAAAGAATTATATAAGCCAGAGATCGTCATCTTCAGCCATTTTATTACGGACCCGATTCTGAATCTTAAAGCCTGTGATGTCGCGTTCTTCTTTGATTCTTATATGGTTGTCTCTGTTTCGAATTTCCGTCCAAGGTAGGAGAAAAGATTAAGAAATATTGCTTTCCTTTTAATTTTTGGTTTGGAAATCGGGAAACATCCTCAAAAACATTTAAGGGGAGGACAACACTCATTCTCTTACATTTTTCTCATCTGTTATTATAAAAGTCTACACACACACACACACACACACGTATGTACATAACATTTGGTTTCTTTATAAAAATTAAGGAAGAATCAGCATCTGTCAATTTATGAAAACGTTAAGGTTGGTCAAAGTATGAATTTAAGTATATCAAAATAACAACAAAAATTTTTTTAAATTTTGTGTGACGTAATGAGAAAATAAAGAAAAATCACAAAAAAAAAAAACAAACAAAACCGAATTTATCGAGGTTATTTTATTATTTTAAGAGGATTTATTAAACAATTGTATGTGCTCCAATCGTGACCTTGTGCCTGACTGCTACGCGAAACAGTAACAAAGCGTATCTTATCCAACATGGACGTAATGGCGAACATGAGACACAACCAATGAACCCTGACCTGTATTCCCATCCGATGCTGGATCGAAGCTGTTTGTAGATCTGGTTTCCTTGAGGTATTTTTGTAAAGACGATTTTTGTCAAGATTCAAATGTATTGCTGATAATATTTTTTTTTTTTTTTTTTTTCCAAAAATGTATTGCAGTTAGTTTTACAACAAAAATCTATTTTTATATTATCATAATATTTTAATCCCAGTTACCCGTCATGGCAATTGTTAGGATGAGCTCTTTGCTATGGTACGTAGACTCTTTGAATTTAAGCGCAGTACTAGCTTGGCGTCGTGATCTCATCAATTTACAGTTGAGCTAGCTAGATAGAGCCGTAATTTTTATGCTGACAGTTTCTTTTCTCGCACTTCTTGCTTGTGGATCTCTCTTCCGGCTCCATGCTTTCTAGCCAACTTTAATCTGCAAAAGTTTAAATGCAACGTCAATCGCTATCTATTCTTCTCCTGATTACTCTTTCTTCTTCCCGCTCATTATTAATGTTTCTGTTTCTAATTTTTCCACATCCATTAAACCCCTCTGTCTTAGTGGCTTTATTGTCTTGCATGGGGTGAAACCGATTAAAACATATCTTGTAGCCACCCTCTGGATTTAATAATATCCTTTATACCTTCATGACTTTAATTAACTCCTACTAAGCTCTGACTGCTGAAACATCATGGCGTTGATGGCGTCCAATTTGTTTTTAAAATTGGAGTTACCTAAAATTTAAAACCCAATATCCTTGAGAATGCCAATAACTAGCAAGGTAGACAAGACAAAAAAGCTAAAGTTTTAATGAAACTTTAAGATCTTTTCTGTTAATTCGCCCTAAATAATGTAAAGTTACTTATCGCTAATATTAATTCACCCCAAGAAATTATAAATTTAATTAAATTTTTGGTACTCTTTTGAAATTATAAATTTGAAATCAAAATTTGTTTAACTTGCCTCGCAACAACTCGAAACATCAGAATGAAAAAATTACCAAAAATTAGGGAATTCTTCACATTTCGTAAGCGCGGATTATATTGGAGCTACTTATAAGGAATTTTTTACAATTTAAAAAAAAAGAAAAAAATCTGTTCGTGGCTTGTTTATTGGGGTGAGTGCTAAGGTGGACCTCAAACTTAGAAAAAAGAGCACTTGTGTCGCCCACATTTGGGGCGATGGCCAAGGTCAACCCAACCGGAGTGCAATGGAAGAGCCTCGCTGTGGAAGAATTTGGTATGAATTTTAGTAAATATAATTTCTTTTTATTTTGAAATGAATATTTTGGGGTAAATTAACAGAAAAGATCTATACTTTATGCAGTCATGAATGAATTTCGTTATTATTATTATTATTATTATTATTATTATTATTATTATTATTATTATTAATATTTTCTTTGATTTCTGGCGTTTACACATTTCTTTCCGGGTCCTGCCCAGGGACCTAAAGTTAGAAATGGCAACATGACACTTTCCACTGACATAAAAAAAAAAAAAATTACATAGATAAAGCCCTTCGTAAAGTGTGGGCTGTACTTGTCAGAACAACTTTTTGTATCTCCTTGAGGAATGGACTTCCAGGAATCCCTTCAATTAGTCTACTGCAATCTTTTCTAACCAGTCCTAGGGCTCCAACTACAACAGGGATTGTTGATGTCCCCATATGCCACATTTTCGAGATTTCTATTTCAAGGTCCTTGTATTTTGACAGCTTTTTGAATATCTTCAAAGATACATTGCAGTCAGCAGGGACTGCCATATCAATAAGAAGGCATCGTTTTTGTTTGTTGTTATTATTATTATTATTATTATTATTACTATTATTATTATTATTATTATTATTATTATTATTATTATTATTGAATATATGATAAAAATCCTTCATGAAGAGAAATTTCCGCAGGCTCGAAGTGAACTAGAAAATCATTAAAAAAAAAAAGGCACGCAACTTTTAATTTTATTTGATATTTCGTAATCCAGAGGATGGCCCAAATATTTGGCCTGGATACAGGGTCTGCAAAAGTAGGTATACTTTAAGGATCTCACCACTATGGACTTCTTTTTCGGGGGATGTGTAAAGGATATATTTTGTTTATTATTACAGTATACCTACTTTTGCACATCATACAGTGGGGAAAACAAATATTCGTACACATACAAACTTTTAATTTATTGTATTTCCAATTAATGAATAAACATACTTTTCATATAATTAACTGTACACAGATGTATAACTAAATATGCATAGAAAACAGAAAATCTCTTTGATCTAAAAGAAATAAATCCCATTTATCCATTTAAATGGGTGAAAAAAGTATTCATACAATACAAATTTCAGATTTTAAAACTTTTAAATTGCTTTAATACTCTAGATAACAATAATGGATACTATAATATTTATTTTATTATAAACAATACCCTGATGATGACATGAATAAGTTGAAAATTAGTTACTAATAAAACCAAACATGTCTTAATGAAAACATGCTGCCGAAATATATGCATATATATATATATATATATATATATATATATATATATATATATTATATATATCAAATACAAATCAAATATAGATCGGAATTAATACAATAGAATAATAGAATAAAGAACAAATACGAAACGTTAATTGGGAGAATGCGATATGGAGAAAAAAGAAAAATATTTTGTTTTGTATTTTGAATTTTTGTGCTATTTGATTTTCATTGGTTAATCAGGGTTAACCTGCATTTGACTTGTTAAACAACGTTAGGATAATTTATAGTGGTCTGAATTCAGGGGGAGACGACACGTTCTCTCGAAGCTCCAAGAAATTAACGGATTCCAAGGCTAACTAAAAAAATATAAATATTGCTTTATGCATGTAAGTGTATTATAATTCTAGTTTTTCAATGTGGAATGATAATGTATATTCGGTAGTTTGTGTGTGTGCATGTGTGTGTGTGTGTGTGTGTGTGTGTGTGTGTCTAGTAGATATTATGTTTGTTAATTGTTCGCATGTTGATTTGGGAACGTTTTTACGTAAGTATTTTTACATAAACAGTTTAGAAATTTTTGATAAAATCCAAAGAAGAATCTGCAATGTTATTAGTCCTAACCTGGTATGTCGGTTTCAGTCCTTTTCCTGCCGTTGTAACGTTGCTTCGCTGTGCCTTTTCTATAAATACTTTCATGGTAATTATTCTGATGAACTTTCCGCTGTGATACCTAACTTTTACGCATTTAATCGCAGTACTAGATTGGCGGCAAGGTCTCATAGTTTTACAGTTGAAATGGCGAGATGTTACCGTAAGTTCCCAGCTAAGAGTTTCTTCTATCGCACTTCTCGCTTGTGGAACTCTCTTCCAGCTTCTTGATTCCCAGTCAACTTTTATTTTTAAAAATTTAAATGCAGTGTCAATCGTTATCTTCTGTTTGCTTAATTCTTGTTCTGTCATTGTCCTCTCTTCTTAATGGTAGTTTTTTTTTTCATATTCTCTTACATTTGCGTCGTCCTAGTGAATTTATTGCGTAAGTTAGTGGTGAAATGATTAAGAAATATCAAAAACCCATTTGTTTTATATTAACGTAAGTTACATCCTTTAAAAGTACGCAACTATATATATATATATATATGTGTGTATGTGTGTTTGTGCGTGAGCGTGTGTGAATGTATGTGTGTTTGTGCGTGTGTCCTTGTGTGTGTGCGTGTAGATTTAATAAGTCGGTTAAAATTGATATTTATCATATATTAACCTTTTGACTGAATAGAAACGAAGAGATAGATTTTAATCTCGTAATTTTCGAACACGCCTTTGTTCTTTTTTCAATGACAAGAAGAATAAACAAAGAATTGGGGCTTACTATTCCGAGGAATGTTGCTAGTTAGAGATCTCCCTATAGAAATTATTATTTATGAGTAAACCCAAATCCCTGTTTAATCCCTCCATGTTTGAAATTATTTTGAAAATAAATTTCAACTCCGATTTGTGTCTTTCTACTTGGCTGTTGAATGAAGATGGTAAAAGCAAGTATATGATGTCATCGACGTTATGACACGGTTGGTTGAAGTGTACAGCGACAGTTAATTGTGGTTGTTGTCCCTGGTAGCTTTTTTATGGTTATTGAACCATAGACGGAATTCCATTCCAGTTTCTCCAACATATTTTTCTATTTTCGCATTTGTAGCAGAAACGCAAATATATAAGATTTGAACTGTCACAATTCAGAGCCGATGATTTGAATACTACGTGTGTTCCAGCTTGTGTGTGAAATTGCTATCAGTGATGATATGTCTACAGACTTGGCATCGGAGTTTATTGCATATATATATATATATATATATATATATATATATATATATATATATAAATAATTAAAAAAAAAACAAGCTTAAGGACCCTTAAGGTTTCTGTTTTTTAATTAAATTAATATTCACTCTGGTTTTACATTGAGCTCTCTGGATTACATCCTCCTTGGGATTATCCATATGGATTAGAAAACATTTCATTATATTGAACAAAAAAAATATTAAAAAATTAAAATCTTCAGACACACTGGGTTGTATATTAATATTCTTTCGTTTTTATTATTATTTCATTTAGATTCCTCGACTAGTTTCGGTCATCATCAGGAGAAAAAAAAAATCTACTTGTTGGTAGCAGTAAACTACAGAAATGAATGCCTTGATGGAGAAAATGAACTTTTGTCTGTAGTTTTCATTTGATTTTTACTTTTTTAACATGAATTTTGTTCAGACCTTGTGTTGGTCAAACAGTCTCTTGTTATTTGAGATAAGAGCTGGATGGATTCATGCTGTTCTGAATTCCCTTGGTCATTTTGACAGTTTTATTGGTTCCTGGAAAAGGGGATGTGTCTCTGTTAAATGTGTGTGTGTTATTTGGTCCTTAGGGAGTTAGTGAGTATGCTGTGTGTAAGCGTATATATTACTATGGGTGTGTGTTATCATTTGGCTCATTAGAGAGTGAGTGAGTATGATGTGTGTAAGTGTATATATATATATATATATATATGCAATAAGCCCTGATACCAAGTCTGTAGATATATCATCAGTGATACCAATTACACACACCCTGCCACTTAATATTAAAGCCACCATATATATATATATATATATATATATATATATATATATATATATATATATATAATAAATAAAAAGGCTTAAACACTAATATTCCATGGTCATAATTTATTCCATTGGAATCGGACGATATTCCATGGTCATAATTTATTCCATTGGAATCGCACGATTCCAATGGAATAAATTATGACCATGGAATATTAGTGTTTAAGCATTTTATTATATCCTTACTCTGTCCTAGACATTGAGTTCTACCTGGATTCTTCCTCTTGAAATTTTTTTTTCTGAAAATATACATGTATGGGTATTTTATATATATATTGCATATGTATGTATATTTTCCACTAATATTATCTATATATATATATATGTATATATATATATATATAGAGAGAGAGAGAGAGAGTGGGGGAGACTCTTGGCCTGACGATTGCGTCTAGCATGAAACAGCCTGTCGCCTCTAAGTGTTGACTTCAGTGTTCACTTATATATATATATATATATATATATATATATATATATATATATATATATATATATGGCTGCCGCCTCGTTGTCGAATATGACCATTGGAAGATCTCATTGTAAGACTTAAGTGCGAATAAAACGATTATGACTCTTCAAATCGAACAAACATTTCAAACAACTCCAGCACAAAGTTAACAGGGTATTATAATTTTGAGCTTTTATTGGATAGGATTACCTTTCTTGGTCCTGGCAATCTATTCTGTTGGGTTATGTGGCTTTGATTTTTGTTAACTAAACGACAAAGTCATTTCATATGCTCCCTACATTCCATCACCACATCATGAGACTTATGACTAACAAATGCCTCATCAACCATATCTTTATCAATGATCTACTCAACTTTACCAAGCTTAAGCCAATCACATCATTTATCAAGTCAAGAGTACTTAAACTGCATGGCCATATCAAAAGAGAAAACTCATAGTGAGTGTAATTTTTGTCTGCAAGGAAAGTTAGCCGGTAAGAGAAGCAAAGGTCGGCAGCCAAAACGCTGGTTTGATAATGCCCACTTATGGACTGGACTTGAGCTTTACTCTTTGAACTCTGCTGTTTGTGAATCGAAATTTGTGGAGAAGTATATCTCATGTCGATGAGCAGACAGCGGAGGAAGCGACTGATGATGATTCAACATAGAACAAAAAAATATCAAGCAATTCCTGTGCATTGATTTTTCTTAAACTGGAGAAAGACGTTGTAGTGGGTAAATGCCGATCTATGAGAAAGAACAACGTGTGCATGAAAAGAAGAACCGGTACAACATCAACATTGCGGTCCCGGGTGATCGTTAATGACAGACTCGGACTCAGTGAAAACAGGTCTAGCAATAATTGATCAGTACATACAAATACATGTACAGGTGCAAACACACACAAAAAAAGACAAGACGAGATAACGCGAGACATGAACAGCGAAACGAGAACAATCCACGCCCGTATAAGGAGATTCCATAAGATAAAAGACTATTGAACTGTCACGTGATATCTGTCCTACAAGATGACAGTGAATGCTGAACAATCTCCTCAAAGATGAAGAAGAGACTTGAAGCAAAGTTAAGGATGCTGAGGATACGATAGATCGATAATATGAACAACGACGAAGGTTTAGAGAAAATGGAAACAAAAAGGAAACTTATACTTAACATCAGGCAGTTGAAATTTCTGAGGAAAGTAATGAGGAAGGAGGGCATGAAAATTTGATACTCACAGGACAGATTTAGGAAAATAGGAACAGAGGAAAATAACCCATACCATACTTAGTGAGCTTGCGTAAATGGATGACGGAACAGGGTTTAGAAGAAATAACGAAAAGACAAAATTTATTAAGAGCTAAAAGGAAATTGTGGGGAGCCATGATCGCCTACATCCTGAAGAGACACGTCACATAAAGAAGTGCATTGACAACAAAAAATATGATTTTGTAAAGTAAATTCATGTTGAATGAGTAAATGAATGGTAGAACAGGGTTTGGGAAAAATAGCAAAAAGACTAAATTTATGAAGATCTAAAGGATCAGGAAGATGTGGAGAGCCATGGTCGACTATGTCTTGAAGGGACACGACACATAAAGAAGAAGATATTTTTATCTAATCTACCTTGCTGGCTAATGGTAATCTTAAGGCTGTTGGATTTAAATACTTTCAGTTTGAAATTCACTGACGGTAACCCGATTCGAATGGCATCTGAAGAAGGCTGAAACGTCGTTTCTTTAGCAACATTATTGAGAACATTAATCCGACTGTAAATGACATAAATAATAACTCCGCATCACTAAAATTTCGGACAGAAATTCCAGATCTTTTTATTGTGTTCAGCAAAGAACCGCTTTAAGAACCTTTTAAAGTTTCGGTGAAACTTTCCTTCTTTTTTTTCTTTAAGAAAATTGAGTAAAAGCAGGGATATTGTAATACAAGGGTTTAATAGCTGTTAAATTACATAATTTTTCGAAAATTCCCCAACTAAAGTTTAGTATTTATTGATTTGTCACCAGTGTTATATTATATAATGATGTAATATTATAGGGTGGCGATGGGTAAATTGTCGCCATTTTATACTTTCAATTTCGCGCATGCGCGTTGTTTGTTTTTTGATTTTGTCGACTAAATTATTTTTGGAGTGGTTTCCCGTTGTCTTCTTCACGGATGCTTTATTGAGACATCACCTCAAGTTAGCAGAACGTTGACCGATTTGAGCTCACCCATCTTTTTGTAGTTCTTATGTTGTTGTTTTTTTCCTTCCTTAGGTACCATGTATGATGCCCGCTTGGGTGATCATGCTAATTATCGATTAATTGTTAGAAGATATTCTTGGAGTAGACTGCCCTCACATTCTGCGGTAGACAATAATATAGAAACCAGTCTGCACTGCTATTTAACCCATAGTTGGGGGAATATATAAATTATAGTATATTGGTCAGTAAAAGACTGGTTGGCAGCAATGGCTATCCATTAGTTGCCATATATGATCATGTCTCTTTTTGAGTCATTCGATTGACTTGGCAGTAGGATACAGTTACTTTCTGGTTACCAGATAAGGTTCTCGGATCCAATCTGCCGTGATATTTAACCCATAGCTCTAGAGAAAAGAGATAGATGTATGCCTTTCCCAAGGTTCACTGATTTCTTATTCTGAGTCGTTATCCATCATACTCTTCCCGCACATCTAAGCTTAGAGGAGTTAGTATTCATTCCCAAGCCCATCTAGACTCTGACCAGATACAACGTTTTCAAGTAAGATGTTGCACATCTGAATCAAAATTGTTGATAAACTATCCAAGTATCTTTTCTTTTTTTTTTTTTTTGTTAACGTATTTTTCACAATCTCGGTCAATATCTGGAATTATATATTGTCAGTGTCGTAGACAAGAGTGTGTTAGCTTCATCCTAGCATTTTTTTCTGAAACGTTAAATTTCAATTAAGAGATATGCGTCTATCGTATAAGGATGTCATATGTAGAGCAATTTTTCTTCTTGATAGTCTGTGAAAGTCCTTTATTGAGCCCTTGTTCTACCACACTGACCCATTGTGACCCAAGGCATGTAAGATGTGACCCACCTGGGCGATCATGTCTCTTTTTCAATTCATAATCGCCGAAGTGTATGTTTTATTTGCACAGTCCTCCCTTTCCAGTCTCGATAGATTTCAAAAGCGTCTTCGAGTCCTTGTGGGTAATAAATTATTTTCCGCCCTCCATCGCCTCTCCTAAAGGAGGTGGTATGGCAGGCTACTCTATTGCTACTTCAGTGGAAAGTGCTCGGACGAACTGCATTCCTTGGTTCAGCCTGTTAGAATCTTCACGGCTAGGACCCGTCATGCCACTCACATTATAACAAACCACCGACATTCACACCGTATTCTATCGGTGAGAAGTTCCACTCGAACAGTTTTTTCCTGCGAACCAATGCTCTACGGATCCGACTCCCGAGAGGATGTTCCCCCGATCACCACAATCTTAACCTGTTCAAGTATAATGTTAACGTTATTGCCCTCCTATCCGCATGAACTGCCTCTTGCTCTGTAATCCTCTATCTCGAGTGGCCCACGGGCCTTGTACAGAGTGAATCTCACTGTTAAAAAATATCTAAACTTACAGCACATGATTTCCCTTGGCGATCATCCATCTAGGTACTGACCAGGATCAACGTTGCTTAACTTCGTTGATCGGACGAGAACCGGTGTTTCAACGTGATATGGCCGTCAGTTATGTTTCATTCAACAGAGCCTTCAGCCATCATTATTGTCCGCGTCAAAATGAAATCGTTACAGGAATTTAACTATTGGGATAGTCTAATAACAGGAAGTGGAAAATGTGGCAGAGAAATATAGCGGAAGATGCCTTCCAAAATGTAAGGAATGTGTTAAGAAATAAGAAAATAGTCTTCGAATCAGAGAAGAGAGTGCTGAACAGCTATGTCTTATCTAATCTGCTATATAGCAGTGCATGCTGGGAAAGATATTCGAAGTGATAGAGATGTAGATTGACGAATGCTAAAATACCACAGAAGCTTTAAAGAAAATAGGAACAATAAGGAAATGTATACTGTGGCCATTCATTTCACTTTCTCCTCCATTTCTTACGCTTCATGTTATTGAAATGTACCCATTTTTCATCGTCATTATGTATACTTACAATCAGAAAGTGATAACTAAAGTTTTATAGCTAAATGGAGGGCCTAGAAAATTTAACACTTACAAGGCATGCTGAAGTCAAGATAAGCAGGGGAAATTTTTTTAATCGTCTCACCGCAAATCAATGCCACTAGATCGCAGGAGATTAAAGGAAGTGAAAGTGAAAGAGAATGAGAAAATTGGGAATGAGGAATTTCGAAGAAAGGACAATAAAAAACATGGACCCAGAAGACTGAAGATGGCGATTGATATTGCATAGAAACTTTTGAAGATTGTTGTTATCAGGGAAGCAAGAAATCGGGAAGGAGTTCCACGAGTTAGAAGTGCGAGAAAAGAAACTGTTAGTGTAGTGGCGATTGCATCTAGCTAGTTCAACAGTAGCACGCTTAGTAGCACGCTTAAATTCATGTGATCGGGAAACCAGGAAAAAAAAACTCATCGTAGCAGCGCCATGAAAAGACCGGGGGAATCCACGTCACGTAGGCGAGAAAGTAACTGAAGTCGAGATGCTTTGTCAGAATCGATTACATCACAGACTCTTCGTGTCAGTGGAAAACGTGAGGCCAAGAAGGCGAAGAGTGTTGCTCTCCTGGAGTTTAACATCAATCGTGCTGATGGCAGGCAAAAAAAGTTTCTCTGTGGTGATTAAATGAAAGTAATTTTGTTTGGGCGGTGTTCAAATTTACACGCGATATCGTGCCCCCGTTAACCAGTGATTGGAGGTCTTTTACGAATAACCTATTTAACGAGTCTATGTAAATGGATGGTAGATCAGAGACAAAATGTGATGGTAAATTATAAAAAGTTACTTAGAGCAACAAAAGACTGGAAGTTGTGGAAAGCTATGATCGCCTAAATTCTCAAAAGACACAGCATATAAAAAAAAGAAAGACGTGGCGACGCATTTCCCTTTCCCATCTATTTCTTATGTTTCACGTTATTTTAAATTATCCACTTTTCATCGCCACTACTAATTTATTTAAAAGATGGAAATAATATTAGAATGTTGTCTTTCGCTTATCTGGAATCTGTACATACCCGCAAGCAACATAAAGCTGGTGTATATGATTTCAACGTTTAATTTGAGTAGTTTGTATATATTGACTATCTCTCGTGTCCGTAGTATTGCTTGTTATTCTCAAGTAATATTTCCTTTTGATCGTTATCAATACGATTAACCAAACCTTGGGGCATCGTTCAGCGAAAAATCTCTAGAGTTAACTTTCGAAAACCACTTTTGACACATTCGATCATTTACAGAACCTTCTCCATTTTTTGTGTTTTCTTCGAATTTTTAAAGTTATTTTTAATAAGAAAACATGAAGCTTTCCCGCCTTGATCCTATCCCTTTTTTTCTGCTACGTATTAACGATCTGTCTAAGAACATTATCAGTTCATTAATAAATATATATGCAGAAGATACCACGGTTTTTCGGGAGCACCATCAAAAATTCAGATGACTAGAGCTTGGTATCTGATCACTACTCTGATCTTACTCGCACAGATCAATGGGTGAGAAACTGGCTTGTAGCAAACAAATCCTCCAAATCCAAGCTACTAACGTTTAATCACCGAGTTTTCTATAGTAATGAAGAATGTTTGTACTCAATGAAACTCCTTGCCTGGAATGTCTATTGTCTTATTCCAGACCTCAAGTAGAACTCGTATACATGATCACTCGCTAAAAATAGAAAAATGTTATCTTCAGAAAGTATCTGACTTCTACTATAATGTATCTTTACAAGAACCATATCAGACCAACAATGGAGTATTGCTGCCATCTCCCGGCTGGAGTTACCGAATCTTCACTTTCCAGCCTTGATAAACTTCAAAAGCGCTTGCGCATCCTTGTGGATGATGAATTGTTTTCCACCCTGCAACCACTTTCCTCACAGACGAAACGTTTTTAAACTCTCGCTAATCTATCACTATTCTTATAGCAGATGTTTCGGTGAATTACATTGTTTAGTTACACCAGTTCAGACGTTCACAGCTAGGACTCGTCATGCCACGTATACTGAGTCGACTCACCCTCACTCCCTTCATCTTCAATTGGTGAGGAGGAAGTTCCACTCAGCTTCTTTCCCAGAACTGTTACATTGGAGAACGGACTCTCGAAAGGATCTTTCTTCGATCGCTACAATCTTCAAGTCTAGGGTCAGTCGTTATCCATCCAACATATTCTCATAATATACACTTTTTACTCGCTTCTCATACACACTTACAACAACTCCATTTAGTAACCATTTACCTTGAGTAACCCTTTGGCCTTCTTTTTGGTGAACAATAATACTAAAAAAAAATGATAGTATTATTTTCTTCCATTTTCACTCTTAGAATCGCTAAACAAAAAAAATCAATTTTGACATTTCAAAACAAATGAACTATATGACAGCTCTTTCGTTATAATCTCGGACAATCTTAAAAATGTACACTTCAAATTAAAAACGCATTATTTATTCCCTTTTCTTTGCTTTTTCTTTTGTTCGCGAAACGAGTGATGTTTTTATCCTTTTCTATTTTCTTTATTTTTTTCTCGCAATGGCCTTTTTGATATTCCTTCATTTTCATACTTTATTTCTATATTCTTCTTCCTTCTTTAATTACACCTCATCTCAACACTACCTTCTTTTCTCTTTCTTTTTTCTTTATTACTTTCCTTTTCTTTTCGTTTAGCATTTCTGGTTTATTCTTTCCGTTTCTTTCACTTCAAATTTTTCTTTTTCTTTTTTCTCTCATTTTCTTTTTGTTTAATATTTCGTGTTTCTTTTTTCCTTCTTCGAACTTTTCTCTTCTGTTTCTTTAACGTTTCAGTTTCTTTATTTTTCTTTCTTTCTTTCTTCTTGTTTTGGCATTCTTCTTGTTTCTGTTTTCTTTTACTTTTGCTTCAAACTTTTCTCTTCTTTTTAATGTTTCAGTTTTTCTTTCTTTCCTTCTCTTTTCTTTTTCTTGAGTATTTATTTCTGCATTTTTCCTTTTCTTTTTCCTTTAACGTTTTTCTTTCTTTCTTTCTTTTTGTTTTTTAGCATTTCTTGTTTTCGCTTTCTTTTTCTTTTAATTCAAACTTTTCTCTTCTTTTTCCTTAACATTTAAGATTATTCTTTCTTTCTTTCTTTCTTTCTTTCTTTCTTTCTTTCTTTCTTTCGCCTTTATTTCTGCTTTTATTTATTTTCCCTTCCAACATTTCTTTTCCTTTAACGTCTCAGTTTCTTTCTTTTTCTTTTTACTTAATATTTCTTGTTCCTTTTTTCTTCGAAATTTTCTTTTTTTCTTTAACCCTTTACTTTCTTTCTTTCTGATTTCATTTTGGATTCTTCACTAACTTTTCAGTGCTTTTTTCTTTCTTTCTTTCTTTCTTTCTTTCTTTCTTTCTTTCTTATTCTTTTCTATAATTTCATTTTTTATATTATGTGTCTTGTTTTCCTTTATATTTTTCTTACATCGTTCTCTTTTTATTTTCTTTCTCATTTTCTTTTCTTTTTTTCTTTTCAAATTTTTCGGCTTCTTTTATTCTTTCCTTTTTATTCTCGGTTTTCATTTATTTCACTTCTGTTTTTCTTTCTTTCTTTCTTCCTTTTTTGCTTTCTTTGTACTTTTTAAAAAACTTTTCAGTTTCTTTCTTTCTTTCTTTCTTCTTTTTATTTAACGTCTCTGTTTCTTTCTTTCTTTCTTTCTTCTTTTTATTTAACGTCTCTGTTTCTTTCTTTCTTTCTTTCTTCTTTTTATTTAACGTCTCTGTTTCTTTCTTTCTTTCTTCTTTTTATTTAACGTCTCTGTTTCTTTCTTTCTTCTTTTTATTTAACGTCTCTGTTTCTTTCTTTCTTTCTTCTTTTTATTTAACGTCTCTGTTTCTTTTTAACGTCTCTGTTTCTTTCTTTTTTTATTTAACTTCTTTTTTTTCTTCTTTTTTATTTAACGTCTCTGTTTCTTTCTTTCTTTTTTATTTAACGTTTTTCTTTCTTTCTTTTTCTTTTTATTTAACGTCTCTGTTTCTTTTCTTTTTTCGTCTCTTTTTTTTCTTTTCTTTCTTTCTTTTTATTTAACGTCTCTGTTTTTCTTTTTTTCTTTCTTCTTTTTTTCTTTAACGTCTCTTTTTTAACGTCTTTTTCTTTCTTTCTTTTTTTTTTTTCTGTTTCTTTTTTTTCTTTTCTTTTTTTTTATTTAACGTCTCTGTTTTTTTTTTTCTTCTTTTTTTTTATTTAACGTCTCTGTTTCTTTCTTTCTTTTTTTTTTTTTTAACGTCTCTTTTCTTTCTTTTTTTTCTTTTTTCTTTCTTTCTTTTTTATTTTTTATTTAACGTCTCTGTTTCTTTCTTTTTCTTTCTTTCTTCTTTTTATTTAACGTCTCTGTTTCTTTTTCTTTCTTTTAACTTTCTTTTCTTTTCTTTTTTTATTAACGTCTCTGTTTCTTTCTTTCTTTTTTATTTAACGTCTCTGTTTCTTTTTTCTTCTTTTTAACGTCTCTGTTTCTTTCTTTCTTCTTTTTTTTATTTAACGTCTCTGTTTCTTTTCTTTCTTTTCTTTTTATTTAACGTCTTCTTTTTATTTAACGTCTCTGTTTCTTTCTTTCTTTCTTTTTTTTTTTATTTAACGTCTCTGTTTTCTTTTCTTTCTTTTTTTTATTTAACGTCTTTTCTTTTTTCTTTTCTTCTTTTTTTATTTAACGTCTCTGTTTTCTTTCTTCTTTTTTTTTCTTCTTTTATTTAACGTCTCTGTTTCTTTCTTTCTTTCTTTCTTTTTTTTAACTTTCTTCTTTCTTTTTTTCTTCTTTTTATTTAACGTCTCTGTTTCTTTCTTTCTTTTTTTTTTTCTTTTTTATTTAACGTCTCTGTTTCTTTCTTTCTTTCTTCTTTTTATTTAACGTCTCTGTTTCTTTCTTTCTTTCTTCTTTTTATTTAACGTCTCTGTTTCTTTCTTTCTTTCTTTCTTTCTTTTTCTGTTTCTTTCTTCTTTTTTATTTAACGTCTCTTTTCTTTCTTTCTTTCTTTCTTCTTTTTTTATTTAACGTCTCTTTTTTCTTTCTTTCTTTCTTCTTTTTTTTAACGTCTCTGTTTTTTTTTTCTTCTTTTTAACGTCTCTGTTTCTTTCTTTCTTTCTTTCTTTTTTATTTAACGTCTCTGTTTCTTTCTTTCTTTTCTTTTTTTATTTAACTTTTTTTTAACGTCTCTGTTTCTTTCTTTCTTCTTTTTTAACGTCTTTTTTTCTTTAACGTCTTTCTTTCTTTCTTTTTTTATTTAACGTCTCTGTTTCTTTTTCTTTCTTTTTTTTTTATTTAACGTTTTTTATTTTAACGTCTCTGTTTCTTTTCTTTCTTTTAACTTCTTTTTTTTCTTTAACATCTCTGTTTCTTTCTTTCTTTCTTCTTTTTATTTAACGTCTCTGTTTCTTTCTTTCTTTTCTTTTTATTTAACTATTTCTTTTTCTTCTTTCTTCTTTTTTATTTTTCTTACTTTCTTCTTTTTATTTAACTTCTCTTCGTTTTCAATTTAATCTTTTTCCTGATTTTTCTATCGCTTTATTTTCGTTTATTTTTCTTTTCCAGTTTATCTAATTTCCTTTTACTTTCGTTTATTCTTTCATTTCTTTTTTTTTCTGATCCTTGTTTAGAAAGAAAGAAAAGAGAATAAGAAAAACGAAGAAATAAAATAAAAAAATCGAAATAAGAAAAGGGGAAGAAAAATAGAAAAAGGAAATAAAAAGATTAAAAAATAACTTTTTCATTTCTTTTTCTATTTTTCTTTCTTTTTCTTCTCATTTTTTTTAATTTTCTTTTTTCCTTTTTTATTTCCCTTTTTTTCTTTCATTCTAAACATAGACCAAATCTTTTTCTATTAGGAATAATTATTAGGTTGGTAGCTTTAATTTTCTATAGTATATTGTATTGGTTAAAAAAATCTTCCTTACAATTAAAATCCCCTTCTAGGAAAATATTTTTAACAAAACCAAACCTAGGAAAGGTTACTGAATTGGGAATAACCAAAACGGAAGTTGGAAATGAAATGGTAATCTTTTTAACATTAACAAAATGCAATACTCGTCAGCGGCGTGAAGTAGGTAAACCACTGCAAGTGGTGGACTACTTTAACAGTATATTACCCCCACTTACAATAGTGTCCAACGTATTTGATGTAATGAATATGCATATACCTGGGTTCCCCATCACAGTAATATGAATGGCTGGTAAATACTGACTGATGTGGAGGTACATGTCGACGCCTATTGGACTACGACTATTGTCTACGTCTATTGCCTACGTCTATTGCCTATCACTACAACGAGGACCAGTCCATTACGTTTACCTGCTAGATTGTTCTACTCGATTACAGTAGTCCAAAACCACTTTGCTACTTCGAACAAATATATCCCTTTCCTGGACATATCAGTATTTATGAGGATTGGGACATACCCATTAGTGTTCATAGCTACAGTATATAACACAAACATAAAATAAAAATGGATTAACAATAATTTTCTCAACTTCCATCAGCATGGCTGATGCTAACCTCCACGAAAGTATCTCGTTGCACCATCTCGGGCTAACATTTTCAGCTGACATAAAGGAGAAAGACTATATTGAATCCATTGCTAAGTCAGCTGCTAATAAAGTCGGTTCACTCTGTCGGGCGAGACAATTTTTCTCTTCAGAGTATATCCTATATATCTATAAGTCTACCATTCGTCCAGGCTTTGAATATTGCTGCCACATATGGGTCGGTGCTCCTGCTATTTATCTAGAGTTCCTTGATGAAAAGAAGCAGCAATATTATTGGTAATAAATTAGATAATGAAGACATTATTGGGAATAATTCAAAGTTCAGAATTAAGAGGAAAAGATTTTCTAATAAACAGTCACACAGGTTATTGGAAATATGTCGAATTTTTTAAAATATTTCTGAAAAATGTTAGTTGATGTTTACAAGTTCCACAGAAAAAGAAACAAAAGCACGATGTGACGCTGTCTTATCAATGAACCGTGAATTGACGAATCAATAATTAAGAAGAAGAAAAAAAGGATCCACATATTTACAATCAGAAAGAGACAGTTGTGATATCTAGGACCTTTTAAAAACTCTTACTTTGTGTGTGTAAATTAAAGAAGATAGATTTAAAGTTAAGAACTAAGAAAAGAATCTCTAAACTAATTAACTTCCCAGAGGTTATTAGAAATATATTGTATTCCTGAAGTATAATATATTTGGCAGGAAAAGCTGACGTGCCCGCAAAAAAGGACACAAAAAGAAAGTGACGGTGCCTTTTTTATTGGCCTGTGAATTGAAAAATCAGCAATTAGCATGAATGAAAGATTTCCAAGTAAAATGGAATTTCACCCACCAATTATTTTAGTGAGTCGCTTCGCCTCGTAGGATACAGGCCCACAATACTAGAATTGTGGAGTTTCTCTCACTAACGCTTTTTCCTGCACTGATATGTAGTCGGTACAATTTCCCTATTGGGAGAAATAAAAGTAGCCAATACAGACTATATGCGCTGTACATTTTTTTTATTACTACAATGAAACCTTTCTCCTGTTAAAAACACGGCGGGTCTGATTTTCAGTAAGAAACAAGGACAGTACGAATTTAGTGTATTGGTATGAAGTCATCCGGGGAGACTAATGCAACGGCACAACCGATACAACCTACTACGGAAAAACCACCATCGTCGCCAAACACCAGTTCGAGACACAGTATAACGTTTAGGACTATGACCATTACTATGTCATAAATAGTTTATGTAGTTTTCAATTTCAGACTGAGCAGTTCTCGTGTTTTGTCGAGAGATCGTGTCGATTGCTAACAGCTTGATTTAAAAGAGAACACATCGTATTTCAAGTTCGACAGGGAGGTGCAAAAGAAGAGGTAAAGAAAAAAAAATCTTTTCTTCAGACTTAAAAAATTAGTGATAATCACACCAACAATATTTTATCATCTGATTAAATGGTCTAATATAGATGCCGTTTATTCAAATGATTGAAGATTCTTTTTACCCATTTGAAATAGCGGAGCCATTATTATTCAAATGCTTACACTTTTTCTTAACTCGTTTATTTCCAGCATTTCTAACAAAGAGAAAGATCTTCTATCAGAACCCATTCCATGATTTACTGACCAGAAACCGGAATCTTGGCCGATTTTCGAAACCTTGGATGGTGTCTCTGCAGACAAAACAGATGAGAGAATGGAGCCATACATGCGGAGGTTACCTTGCCAGTCGAAGATGGGTACTTACAGCTGCCCATTGTATAGATAAACGACCGTGAGTAAAAGGGCCCTGGTAAGGAGCACTGATAATCTAGGAGTAACGGTATGAACTCGAGATATTTCACGCCAGTGTTTTTTTGCAAAAGGAACTCCTATCTTTATACGACAAATCACCTTTAAGTATGCTTTGAAAATTTAACCAGATAAAAATTAGGATGGGGGTGAATCGATTTTATCGATAGATAAATATTTTGTGACTATGTGAAAAAAAAAAAAAAAAAAAAAAAACAGAATACGGATCATTGTCATAATTTTTTTTTATTGTATTTAATTTTATTTTAGTTTTTCTTTTTTCATTTTTTTCTTTATGTTGTAACGCTCAGGACGTTTTTACATTCTGCAACCGTTTAAGCCACGTATATAGATAAATACCTTTTTTATTGCAAAAGCTTAGATCAAAATCCTTGTTTACACACGCAGCAAGTATAACGTACCTTTTTTTTAAAAAAAGAAAAAGAAAAAAGTCCTTTCCCACAGTATCAAGCCTGTCACGGCTCTATGGCTATTTGCATGGAAAGTGTTCAGACAAACTACATTCCTTAGTTCCACCAGTTCTAACTTTCGCAATTAAGACCCACAGTGACACGCCCATTGTAGCGAACCAACCTTATACCCTCTGCATTCCATTGGTGAGATGTAAGTTCCACTGGAGTAACTTCTTTTATGAAACGTTACTTTGTGGAACTGACTCCCAAGAGGATGCTTCCCCGATCACTGCAATCTTAACCTTTTCAAGTCTATGGTTAACCGCTATCTTCCCCATATTTACCTATAAGCTGTGCC